CGAGGGTGTACTTAGGGATCTTATACTTGGGAAACGGCGGGAATGGGGTTATATAAATGGGCACAAATGAACCCTACAGAAAAGGCAGCGCAGAGTTTAAGATTGGCCTGCTCTTTGAGATAAGCCAGGGCCCTCCAGCGGCGTACTACTGCATCGGTATTTTTTTTAATACGATGGTATAAGGGAAAAGGTGATGCGCTAAAAAGCACCTGTCGTAATCGACAATACCCATCTTCAATAGGAGATGAGTATAAAAGTGTTTTTAAAAATTGTATGTACAGGCAAAGAACGTTTTAATTAGTTTGTGCATCCGTGTTCGCGCAGACGGAAAATTATACATCAGACTATGGCAGACACCCGTTGAATGCGACCAAAATACTACCAAGCTCAATGAATGAGATAGAATACCAGAACGTAGCAATACTAGCTTTCGTATAAACTGGAAGGCAGGCATCCCAAGAAGTGTAATTTCAAGGAAAGGCGTCCTTTGGGAAAATGAGGAAATTTATTCAGTAAAGTTTCGACACTGGATCCCCAGGTTGTCGTCAGACTTGAGAAAAATGTGCTTTCTATTATCCTCTTATTGTCTTATATTTAAGAGTAAAGAATAAAAAAGTGATTTTATTGCAGAAAATGCGCTGGGCATAAGCTAACATCCTTCAAGTTTTCTTGAAATTTTAGCACGACGGGTAAGCGCGACTTGAGGGGTTCCCTCTTCGTGGGTGGGAACAGAACGTAGACGCGGCGCGTAATATCGGCATATTTCCTGGTACAGATGCCGCAAAAGGTGGGTAGAACCTTCCTTTGAAAGACCCAACGTTGGTGAAACCAGTCTCACAATAAGGAGCGTGACATGCGATTCCTGTTTTTAATAATAAAGATTTGAAACCAGTGGCTGAACGAAATCACAGCCAAACGGTCCACGAGCTTGCAACAAAAATGGAGGTATCCCACAAGATCATTACCTGGCACATCCACATCACCGAAAAAATTAATAAGCTCAGCAAATAGATAATGTTTGAACTGAAAGAAAATATAATTTCCTAATTTTAAAATTTGTTCATTGCTACTTACTGACACTGGAACAGTCAGTCCGTGAAGATCGTCACAGTGAGACGAAAATCTGATATTGTATGGCAACGGCCGTTACATAAAAATTGAATATCAAAACAAAAGCCCAAACGAAGTTACACCCTCAGAAGATAATGGCCACTGTTTAGCAGTCTTCTGCAGGTGTCGATCATTGCAGTTGAAGGATCGATCGCGACAGACAGCTACCGTCACGCGGTCGAAAGAAAGCAATAAGTGCACTGGCAAGTGAATGGCGGACTAAAAACGTCCTTTAAGTGCCGCACTCTCTCCGTCGCCAGTACTACCTACCTTTTGATTTTATGAAGGAACGCTCCTGAAGAAAACCACGAAAGGGGGCCAGACCAGTGCCTGGACCAATCATGATTATCGGAATGAGTGGATTTCGGGGAAGGCGCATTTCAGAACGACGCAGAAAGACTGGGACCAGATGTGAGGACGACATCGTGGGGAGGCGAGAAAGCCAGTCGGAGGCCACACCGAACCGTAAACGACCTGAATAGGGGAAAATTAACTTTTTAGATTCGTATAATGTTCTGGCAAGAAAAGAAATAGTAGATACAGCCCTTCCTTACAATTAGCG